GTCCTTTAAAATGACTCTTCCACTTACTGGGAAATCACTGCAGCCCATCTTCAAAGAGTAAGAGCCCTACAGCTGGAACAAAAGAAGTCCAGCTTGCGCACAGATTGGGGCTGGGCTGGGGCACAGTTCCTTGTATGTAATGGGATCACTGGGAAACAGATTGCTCCAGAAGCAGTCCAAGATGCAATCTGATTCCCCGTGTGATCACACCTTTGTTTCCTTTATGTCCAAGCTCATTAGGATAGGGAAGATAGGATTGTGATAGTACCTGATAATGTCATGCTGCTTTTCCATCAAATCATCTTAGCATTAGGAAATGCACCAAGAATCATGTATATTAACTATATCATGAGGGCATAACTTGCCATTTGAATCTCAAGCTATAAGCCAAAAGTCAAGCATGGTTTCAGGCCATTTTACTGAAATGTCGTAATGCTGACACATACAGGCGGTGCCAAGCAGAAAGAATAAGAGTGGCCTTAAATGGGAGATGCTTGAGTGCATTCAGTCAAAGTGTAAAATAGCAGGATGTAGCTGTGGTGCAATGGTGCAATGGAGGCAAGACTCTAATGGAAGACAGAGGAAACAGCCAAGCAGGGGAGAAGAATGAAAGACGATCTAGTTGTGCACATACACGAAACACATCACCACAGTCTGAAATAGAACACACCCAACAGAATACCAAGACAATGGATAAACGGAAGCCAAATGCCCCCAAACACACAAAAGCAGTTCATCATGCCACTTCTTGTTGGTTAAAACATGGCATGGAAAAACAATTCCCCCACCCCCAACACACTTCTTCAGTCTAAAGAGGAATAAGCCCACCTCTCTGCCACCCCTGCTTGCTTACTTCATTAATTCATTAATTCAATTTATATACTTGCCCATCTAGCTACCTGGATCACTCTGGGCAGTTCACAATAAAAAGGAACAAACATAGTTACATGAACATAACAACTGCTCAAAATTAAATCAACATATGATCATAAACTAAAAAATAATAGCAACAATTGATAAAAGCAAGAAAGTGGAATTGGTGTTGTAAGTGCTGAGTTGACCATTGTGCTCTGTAGATGTAAAGTCTGGGAAGCCTGTCTATATAACCATGTTAAAAGATGTCTGTAGAAAATCCCCAGTGAAGGGGCCAGGTGAATTTCAAGTGGGAGGTTACTCCATAAATGCAACCTCTGAGAATGTCCGGGTCCTCATCTTCTCTTTCCAGGTCTTGCTTGGAGTCAAAGACCTTAACCATCCAGCCTGAACTGATCGAGTGTGTGGATGGGGCAGAGATCATTGGAAGGAGGCATACTGCCAAGTATCAAGGTTCTAAACCATTTAGAGCTTTCTATGTTAATGTCATCACCTTGAAGCTGGCACAGAAATAGACAGGTAACCAGTGTAAGGAGATCAGAATGGGGAGATGTGTTGGTATTTATTTACTCCACACAGTAGTCTGGCCCCTGTATTCTGAACCCGCTAAGGCTTCTGTAGCAGTCTCACGGGTAGACCCTTGTAAAAAGCATTCCGATAGTCTAATCTCAAGATTACCAGTGATTGGACCAGCATAATGAAGGACCCAGTGTCAAGGTAGGGATGCAGCTGGGGTGATCCATCTAAGGTGGAAAATAGCAGAGAGAACCACGAACACTACGCGGGACTCCATTGATAGTGTTGGATCCAAAAGAATGCCCAAGCTGTCAACCTCAACCTCGGCAGACAGAGTGGCCCTTCCAAAAGAAAGGGAGGCCTCCTACTTGCAGACACTAGGGGTCCCTCACCTACAGAACCTCCATCTTGTCTGGGTCCAGCCTCAGTCTATTGTCCCTCATCCATCATCCATCCTTACACAGTGTCCAGTCAGTGCTCAAGGGAAAAGTATTCCAGGGGAAAGTGAAAGGGAGTAGGTTACAAAAATTATTATTACAGTAGGAACCCCATATCCTTGGGATCAGTATTCATGGTTTCACCTATCCATGCTCTGAAAAATTAAAAAGAAAAAGATCCAGAAAAAACTATTTTCACATGTTTTACCATAATAGGCCACCAGATGGAGCCAGAGACCATGCTCTCTCTCTCTCTCTCTCTCTCTCTCTCTATACACACACACACACACACACACACACACACACACACACACACACACACACACACAGAGATATATATTACACAATATATATACATACATACTTTTTTATATATAGAC